CATTAAAAACACAACAACAGTCCATTAATGAGCACTCAATCTGACATTTTTTGCAATAATCTATAGCACAAAAATACAGCTACTCAACCAAATTAAAACCAAACAGAGAATTCACCAGGCTNGAAGCCGTCAAAAATATTCAGAGCTTAATTAAAGAGTTTGAAAACCACAATAAAAATATTGAAGAAAACGAGAATTTGAATAAACACACGACAGTTTTAAAATCAAGCTTTGATAACTTGATCAATAATTCTGAGTTGTCTGTGGTCGTACATTATACCTTTTGTTATTTGAAATCATCGTTTCCTTTTAGCGCTTTACCAAACTAACAGTTATTTAGCTTGGAACTCTTGGTGGGTTATTTTCAACGCTTGAAACTTATTTGTATTTTCAGAATTCAATGTTGTCCATGGCCAGTCTAATCACAAATATTGAAACTCTAGTATTGTAAGTTCTTGAGCAAAAACAAGGTATTNTTCTCAATTAGTCTTCATTTTATTAACCCATTTTTGTTTTATTTAGAGACGATTATATGTTTATTGATGAAGATTCACTCTATGCTTTGCAGATTTTTTCCCAGGATAGCACATCTCAAGTAACCACTATTCCAAGTGCAAAGTTGTCAGTATTTGGTATATCACACATTCATTATTTTGTAAATCATTAACTTAAAACATTCAAAACTAACTCCCAAATTGCAGATTTATTGAATTTTACTGGTTCAAAACTTGGTTCCAATTATTTAAAATTATGGTTATCAAGACCACTTTATAATATTGATTCAATTGAAAAACGACAGAAAACAATAGAAATCTTATTATTGTCGAAAAATTCGGATTATATTTCTCAAATTGATTTATTCTTAAAAAATATGCCAAATATGTCAAAGCTAATATTGAGCTTACAAGCTGGCAAGTCTAATTATAGAACCTGGGAATCCATTAGAAATTTTATTAACAAAGCACTATCAATAACACAAAACATCTATAACTTGGATAAGAATGAAAAAAGTATAGATTTGCTTGACANAATATGCCAAACTTTGGATTTGGATGTATTGAATGATTTAATATCAATAATAGAAAGCTCAATTGATTTCGAAGAATCTAAAGCATCAAATAGACTTATCATTTCCGAAAACGTTCATCCCAAACTAGATGAGTATAGAGAA